GCTGCAATCCAAACGGAAGGCTGCCATTAGGTAAGTTATGACAACTTAGTTATGGCTCCTAGGTCCCAACCTCCCATCTCCAGGTCTTGGCCAGGCATGGCTCATTATCTCTAGCAGAGTGACACAGTCAGAAACAGGAACCAGATTCACCAGGCAGTGAAGATGAAGTAAGGACTGCCCAAACGTCACTGAGGCACACTGATAACTCTTGGGTCTCAGAACCTGAGGTCTCTGAGCAGTCAGTCACCAGAGTCCACACTAGACACATTGAAGCCAGAGACTGCTTGCCATGGCCTCGATTAGGGGACAAAGGACACAACAGGACGTAATTCTGTGTTAGAGGCCCCTGAAAGATGGGGAAGATGACATGGGGGGAGTGAGTCTCTGCTTCCTGGCGTGAGGTTAGGAGATAAGGGTTGGGTCCCTGGAAGAGATTGCAAGGGAAGCTAGACCACAGTGTGCCACACCAAGGGGGCACCCAGATTCTAGTCACGAGACAGACTGGACATTATGAAACAAATACCAAGGCTGGTGCTGATGTTGGGGGACCAAATCCTACAAGACTACTGGAGCTTCAAAACAAAGCAAGCACAGATTCCAGGGTGCCAGAACTTTCTGTTGCTGCTGGACCTCGGGCCTGTAAAATCTGAGGATGGGGCTTGGTGAATCACCCCTGGCCTCCTGTCACCAGGGTGGGTCCTGGGAACATGGAAACCATAGCGACCCTCAGGATGAGGCATCCCTGATGCGAAAGGAAAGCAGCCAGAGAAGCAGAGGGGTCTCCTGGCCAGACACCAAGTGCAGGGCTTGAGCTGCCTGAGTAGCTTCCTCCCACACACTGACCTCATTGAAACGCAGAGGCAGAGCTGCCTTCGGAAAGCTGCTCTGAAAAACGCGAGTAGTAGCTTGCGCTTCCATTCACCTTCAGATGCTAAAAACTAGGCTTGCATGTCCTCAACACAAATCTACCACGATATTGTAATCGCTAATATCTCAGAGTGCTGGCATTGTGAGTCACTAATGGGTTTGCAGTTGTTTCCTTTCATCACGGGGGTAAAATGGATCTGTGAAAAGAATGAAATCCCTGGCTTGCTGCAACTGTCTTTCGGCTTTCATGCTTGCTTAGCTCACAGCCTCTATTCATCGGCTCGACTGTTAAAGAGCCTGGCACTGACAGTTTGCCATAAAGAATTTGAGTGAGCCACGTGGAACTCCCGATACTCACGCTCCCGTGGGCCAGCCTAATAGACTACGCCGTCTCTTCCTTTCCCTGCGTATAGCGGTCCCTCTCGAGTTAAGCGGGAACACGAAGGGGTCAGCTCCATCTGAAGAGCCAGCACCCCTGAGAAGCACCTGCTGCCTGCAGATCTCCTCAGCCAGTCGTCCTGTCCTCCATGTCCACCCACAGCGGCCTAGGAGCTTATCACACTTTTCCATCACTGAGGCTCGACTGTTAGACCCTGAGTACCTGAGCTTTCATTCAAAGCAGTCTCAACACAAGCCACTCAGGGTCTCTTTTGCTGTGATAAAACATCACGACCAAAAGCAACATGGGGAGACAAGGGGTTCGTTCGGCTCACAGTTCTATAGCACGGCCCGTCCCTGAGTGAAGTCACGACAGGAACTCAAACAGAGCAGGAACCTGGAGGCAGGAGCTGATGCACGGCTGTGAAGGGGGCGCTGCTTACTGACTTGCTCCCCAAGATTTGCCCCGCCTGAGTTTTATATGCCTGAGGACCACCTACTCAGGGGTGGCACTACCTACAAAAGGGTTTAACACACACACACACACACACACACACACACACACACACACCAATCACTAATGGGGGCCTTTATTTTTTTCAGTTGAGGATCCCTCTTCTCAAATGATTGCAGCTTGTGTCAAGTTGACATAAGGCTAGCCAGCACATAAATATTCTATGGTTTATTCCCTTTAGGGCCATGTTTCCCCAGTATCTAGCTAACTCTAAAGATGTGAAGTTTAAGAGGTTGAGGCCTCTTCAAGGGTTGATGTTCCCCCCTGTGATTAGGCTGCAGAACCACGTGTGCTGTTACACACCTGGCAGGCCCCTAGGTAGGAGCAGCGGAGGCAGCACGCCATCGTCAGCATGCCGTCTCTTCTGCATCCGCTGTTGCTGAGAGTACAGGCTGTTGTCAGTGTCGCAATGCGGACACAGGCTCCCAGTTTACTCATAACCCTGCTTCTGAGGCTCAGCGCGAGGCAGTCAGCTGGAGAGCCCCATCTTCCCTCCTCTTCTGTGCTCCCTTTTCATCTTCCATCGGTACCTTAAACTCTTCACCATGGTGTGTCTCTGTCACTTTAATGCATTCTTCTGAACCTCTCCGTCTGTGTCATTGCCGTCCAGGTTCTCCTAGATTCGCCTTGGCTGAATCAGAAACCGTTTTATCCTAGTGATGCTCTGTGTGGTTTTGAATTCCCTGTGACCATGAGGGAAAGAGGATGAGAATGCCGTCAGCTCATAGGCGACTGACGGATGACACCGAGCACTGACTAATGAAGAGAGATACAGGAGAACTAATTCCTTCCAGTACCAGGAAGTACTGGGCAGGAGACCTCTGTGTTGGCTGTCTCTCCGTGCTGGACAGCAAGCCAGAGAAGTAGGTGTAGGGGGTAGCAAAAATAGGTAGCGAGTGTAGTGATCTCACTGCAAGCAAGAGTCTTGTAAGGTGGTTACAGGAAGTTAAAATGAATAAATGAATAAAAATAAAATTAATAAATGAATAAAAATAAAAATTAATAAATGGATAAAAATAAAATAATCGATCATTAAAGCCTCAGATTGGGAGTCTGTGCTAGATGGCCGCTAACGATTCCGAGTAGCAGCCATATATGGAACGCAAACTCTCAGTCTCTCTTGTTAGTGTCAAGCCTTCTAGGCTTTCTCTGCGGAAAGTGCTTTCTCAGATCTCCGGTGGTGCAGCCCTAGCAGACATATGCAGCTCTACCCTGCTGCAAACCATGCTTCATCTCAGGCCACTCACCATGTCCCCCAGCTGTTGGACTGCTCCCCAGACACAACGCTGTATCCGCATCCCCAAAGTCTCTGCACAAAAGTTTTATACTATATATATAAACATATATCCATAGTCTATCCCACCCCAGATCCTTCCCCACTTCCCTTCTCTTCTGATTTCCTGTTCATGCCTGAAGCTTTCTGATCTATGCCTTGTTTTCTTGCCTTTCTGAGATTTTCCACCTCAGCCCACTAGGGCACTTCTTAAGAGAGTGCAGAGAATGGAAAAGGCGCTTATGTCATGTGAACGTGTTGCACACTGTAATAATGTGAGTGGGACACCCGGTATGGTGAGGAGCTACTGTACACACTCAGCAAACATACTTATTTTACTATGAACTGTGTTTATTGGAATGAGTGTCTTAACACCTTTGCCAGATTCTTATTCTCCAATGTATCTAACCGCCAGCCAATATTCATTTAGGGGACTCACTACGTTATTGTGTATAGTATATTATTGTAATCAATAACTGAAAGATGACTAGGTCAACAGACCAGCACTAACTTGTGTCATTTAGCAATACCCATATACAGGGCCTTCCTATCTGTAGCAGAGGCTGTTTGTCAACCATGATACCATGAAGCTCACACAGGTCTATCATGCCACATTGGGCCAGGCTGGTGCCATGGCTACTTCCCACCACACCCAAATTCTAGAGACCAACTCAAGATAGAGCTTGACACTAAGGCCCTTCTGGAGTGAGCATGCTTACAGACCCTTCTGGAAAACTCATTCTACCACAGGTGGAGGGAATTTGACTTTGGGCCATGATTTAACTTTCATGTGTTCATGAAGAATTTGTTTCCTATTCGATAAGCAGGCATACAGCGAACAGGAAGTACCTTCCCAGAGACGCAACTGTCTCTACATTGATACATTTGTCCTCTAGATGTAGCCTCTTCTAATACTGTGGTGGTAATAGGAGGCACGATCTAATGGATTTTGATATGAGACTTGATATGTGTCTATCTTAAAGTGTGTGTGTGTGTGAACGTGTGTGTGCATGTGTGTGTATATGTGTGTGTGCATATGTGTGCATGTGTGTGTGCGAGCATGCGTGTGTGTGTGTGTGCATGCATGTGTGTGTTTCTCCATCATGGCAACTCTTTTGAGTTGGTCCCGCTCCTCTCCCACCCCACTGTGGGGAACTCTGAATCTGTGACAGGAAGCACCCTTCCCCCAGAGGACATCCAGGTGATCTGTGGTGTCTTCACTCTCCCTGGTCATATCTGCTCTGTAGCTGTCAGCAGAAAATGTTGGAAGCTTTTTTTTTCTGGTTTGTTTGCTTTTGGGACTGGACCATGAACACAGACATGTGAGAGAGCCTGATCAGACAGAGTGTGTGCTCTAGCTGACTCCCTGGCCAAGGCCAGAGTTCTGAGTTTAGGATCCACTGTGACAGTGATGAGGAGCAAGAGGAAGCAGAGCCCAGGCCTCCTGGACAGTGGTCTTCTGAGCCGCCTGAGAGTGCAGTCCTCCCAAACAAGTCGAGGAAAGCTCATGCAGAGAAATGCGGCCATAGTGTTTCTGCATACATGACTATTAAGCACCAAGAACCAGAGTCTGTCTGGAGGGCAGAGGTTCTTAGCTACCCTCAGCATCGATGGAACAGTAGTTAAGGAGCTCACAGACTAGAGAGCACAGACTGAGGGAAGTCGTGTTTGACATCCTTACTGCTGTACGGGAGACACATCCAGATATGATTCTTAGATTTACAGGTTCCCCAAATTGCAAAGTCTGCATGCACTGATGAATGTGCCTCTGAAACCTCTCTGAATGGCCTTGAACTAAGTAGAGGAGACTTTCTTCCTCAAAAGGCAACGTGCGAGGAAGCCGTCCACACGTGAAAGAAGAAAGTCCCTGATTTTCAAACATTAGATGTGTATCTACTCTGATGACAATGTACCCTGACTTAACCATGGAAAAACTAACATCTGTGCTTTCCTTTTTACACAAACTAACGCTTTTGGATGCCCATATTCAGACATGAACTTGAAGAGGGAGGCGGCCCCTCAGGATCGCCTGAGAGAACAGACACAACAGGCACATTTGGAATCAGATTCCTCACATTCCAAATCAGAAAACCTCCGCAATTTGGATTTCAAGGGACAATGTGAAGAAATGAGCAGTCAGTCCAGGTAAGAAACTTTGGCACCTTGAACCAGAAAGCGACCATGTGGAATTCTAATAGAACAAATGTATTAATGGGGTGAGTTCCTCAGATTTCACCAAGATAGTTCTCCTGCCAACGCCATACTTAGTGTCTCACAGAGTTAGCCTGCTCCTCCAGCTAAAATATTTGTAAATATCTCTCTCCTGAATGTGCAGGCTGTATGTAAGCAACCAGAGTGCACCTCACATGATCAATCCTAAAAGATTCCCTTTTACCTTGAAAACGTTTTTTGTTCTTTGGACTCATTTCACCAGTGAAGTGTCTTGGCACAAGCTGAGAATTTGTACCCCCAGAGTCACGTCAAGCTGTCCACTCGGATCACCTTTGGTACACACTTGCCTGAGACATGAGTTCTGTCTCTCCTTACTCTCTATCCCGACTCGGAGCTCACACACTATACCTTTTCTATCCTAAATATAAATTCACAATTTTCGGTTCTTTTTAACTCATGTAATTGTTTCATGAGGTGCTTCAAATACCAACGTTATGTGACTATTTTTTTTAAACTCAAACAAGCAGTCTCAGTAACATATTTTCTTCAGATTACCCAATGCTCCCTGCTAGGAACTGCAAACACAGAAAAAAAATCAAACATCATGTGTGTAGCTGGGAACAAGTCAAAGACTGAGGTCAAAAGGGTTCGGGTTCTAGAGCAGTGGTTCTTAACTTGTGGGTCGCGAACCCTTTGGAGGGTGTTGAACAACCCTTCCGTGGGGGCTGCGTCCTAGATATCGTGCATATCATATATTTATATTAGGAATCACAACAGAAACAAAACGTAGCTACAAAGTAGCAAGGAAAGTAATTTTATGGTGGGGGGGGGCCACCACAGCCTGAGGAACTGCGTTAAACGGTCGCAGTGTTAGGAAGGTTGAGAACCAATGTCCCAGAGAAGAGTGACAACTGAGTGTTTTCTAAACCCCACCTCAGGCCGTGAGACCCCCGCCTTATCGTCTGTGGTTGAATCTACTCCTGCTCTCAGGCTTCAGAATTATTCTCTTTTGGGGAACTTAGCCAACGGTGGAAAGCTTCGTCCATTCACACCCCGATCCCCAGGGTTACACACGCTCACCGGGAGAACTGGACCCAGCGGACACACTCTCACATGTATGTTGCATGCTGGACTACAGATTTGCCCTCTTTTCATACCAGCAGTAACATGTGCGGGGTGTTTCATTTTTTGCTAAATAGCTGTTTTTATTTTCGTGGCTCAGCACACAATCGCAGCTCAGCCTCTTCTTGGTCGCGCGATCGCTCCGTGCGCATGCGCACACCTCTATCCTTGCAGCCACGTCTTGCGTTTTCAATATTTGCTGCACGCCCACTCCCCTGTTGTTGAAACTTCACAGGGTCTGGTTGTTCTTTACTGATTGTTCACACCCACACTGTTTACAGCATCGAGTAGCTGAGAGCTTGTGTGTTCCTTCTTCTCCCTGATTGAAGGAGCCGCACCCACCCCACCCCCAACCCGTCTTTTCTTTCCTAAACTATTTTCTCCACCAACGGGTCTGTGTATTCTAAAGTCACAGAGACAAGTGCGTGCGTGCAAGTGCCTGCTTTCTCTTTTGCTTCATTCTGCTGTATTATTCCCAAGGGAGAGTTCACCCCATCTCTCCTGTAAACATTTTAGACTTTCATCTTCAATGTCACAAGTCACAGAGTCGAAGCAGGTCTCTGAACTGTGTTTAGAAATTCTCGTATCATCTCTGAGGTTAGCTAAACCTTGGGTTTTCCCCAGCAAACACAGGTATCTTGTCATCCCATCCCAATCTCCTCATGGGGATTGTCCTCTCCTGATATCTTATTGGGCCCCTTACTACTTCTGAGGGGATTTGCACTGAAGTACAACAGGTAGAATAGTAAGAGCAGAGAGAGAACAGGAAATCCTTAGCTGATGACTCAATGCAAAAGTCTCACGTGACCATTGATGGGGGACCGTGTGAATGTATATAATATATATATATATAATATTGTATACTGTATGCACTCACACACACACATAATATATAAAAAGAGCATTATTCCCACCAGTCTGGACCCAGAGCCATGTCAACCCCAAATAACACACAGAGACTCTACTAGTTACAATGCTGTCAGCAATATCCATGGCTTCTCATTGGCTAGTTCTGTCTTAAGCAGTAACACATGACTATTAATATATATATATATATATATATATATACACATGTATATATATATATATATATATATATATATATATATATATATATCCATCCAAGTAAGGTCTTATCTTGTGGAGGACACCAGCCTCATCTGTCCTGTCTTCCCAGGATCACATGATGACTCTCTACTCTTGACTGCATTTCCCAGAATCCTCCTCGACTCCTAGTCCCACCTGTCTTGCTTCCCTATTGGCCAACAGTGCTTTATTTATCAACCAGTAAGACAAACATATACATAGAAGGCCCTCCCCCATCTCTCTCTCTCTGTCACACACACACACACACATATCTTAATATATATCTTATTGGTTGATGAATAAAATACTGATTGGCCAGTAGCCAGGCAGGAGGATAGGCGGGCTAGGAGAAGAGAAGAATGCTGGGTTGAGGCAGAGAGGAGCCTCCAGGGAGAGACACCATGTAGCTGAGAAAGGAGTAACAGTCCCTAGTTTATCAAATTCAGCGCTGTGTAAGGGGCTTCAGGAAGTGGGGTTGTGGCACAGTGCCCACCCTAAATTGCGGTGGCATTATTCGGGGCTAATGGGAAGCAGGAGCAGGCTGGAAAGAAACCCCAGCTACACTGAATCATTCTTTCGCTGTCAGATTTCAAGTCCAAAGCCATCCTTTTAGACCAGGCATTCATCAGAGTAGCATTAGCATTCATGGAATTGGCATCACAGGCAAACCCACCACATCTCTAATCCTGTTCATGGCTGTGGACGAGACTACGAGACTGGAATAAAGACAACAGCAAAATCAACGCTGGGTGATACTTGGGTTAATTGTGAGCAGATAAACAGCAGATCAGCTCCCTGCCCTGTTTCCTGGTAGTACCTCCATGGGGCTGCCATTGCTCTAACCCAAAAGATTGAAATCATAGGATCAAATGCAGATGGAGGGGAACATTTGACTTCCATGTGTTTCCTCTGCCCGAGTATTCACAGGAGTCTGTCCTTTCTCATGGAGACAAACTTAATCCCAACAGTATCTCTAGACTGCTTACACTTGAGATGGAAACACAGCATTACCTCATGTAGATTAGCCATACACTCATATATGAGTGCATATATTATATGTTAATTATATTAATCTTCGTAGTGAGGCCACTAGTAGTGTATTTATGACTCTGTTACTTGCCTCAGTAGTAGAACGATTATTGATGATCACTTTTATAATATATATTAAAGGGCCACATTGTTGAAACTGAGAAGGATGCATACTCCCAATGTCTGTAAGATTTACCTGTAGAAGCTCACATATGCGTGTTGTGTTTACCTCTAAAACTCAGACTTGCAGTATCATGAGGTAGCAACTATTGAAAGTACATATTTAGTTTATATGAAATGTATACTCTTGTTTTAGTTTAAAAAAAGCATTTATGTTCTTTATTCATGGGTTGCCAGAGTAAGTGATGTTATATTCACGATGCATTAAATGGAGACAAATTACTTCATATGAATTTTTCACTTAGGTCTGCACTGCATGGACTGGATGGAGGCACTGATACCATGCTTGACAATTTATAGCTTCTCATAGTTTTTGTGATTTAGGCAAAATGGGGATTATTGTTGCCACAACTTCGCTGTTTGTAGTGAGGATGTGGCATTTAGGAAGTAGAGACCTCTTGGCTGTTGATCTGGGACCCAAATCTATATCATCTGATTGCAGCCAGCATATTTCTGTCTAGAGAACTAAACACTGGGTATATCAACAGTTGCTTTTGTCTTAGGATTAAAGTCACCCCTGCCTTTGGGTTAAACAATCATGTTTTTAATTTCGTCTTATCATTATGAGACCCCATGGCTTTGATATTTTTCTTATTCTGTTTTTATTACATTGAAAACTGAAGGTGTCTGAAATGACACAGGCAACCCAGTAGAGAGGTTAGGGTTTGAGTACACAAATTCCTGGTTTCAGATCCTAAGCATGTTCAGTTACATTCAGCCCAAGGGAGGATAGGCTTTGAGAAGCCTGGCTGGGTATCCTCTGCCCGTTTTATACTTCCAGCTATGAGTTTGAGGGTCATATATGATACAAACCTTTCTAATATATAAAAACAAAATTCTTCCTGCCTTGTGTCCCTCCAGGTCCTTACTCTTATCTGTGGAGCATATAATACAGAATCCCCCACCTTAGCACGTTACAAAAACTCTAGTTTACTAAAGGCAGGATAGTAAAATTAGAACCACTAAAGGTCTCCATGGTGAACACGATTCCTATGGCATGCACCTACTCCTGCATTCTCTGCTAGCTCCTCATCTCAAGTCTAAGGAGAGCGTTTTATCACTTTTTTCTCACCCAAGTGTTCTTTCATAACTCCTATTGCCTCCCCGAAGCAGCATTCACCAAAGTATTAAACTTGCACCGCTGACAGCTCCACCGGAATTCCTGTCATTGTCAGCCAGTGCTACTAATATTTTTTTAATTTAAGAAGCTGAGAAAAAGGCCACGTTGTTTTCCCCGATGCCTGCCATTTCATCCATTCGCGCACTCCTCGAAGGTCTGTGTTGATGATAGAAATGAACCTAGGAAATTGCGCTCATCAGAGCAAACAGCGCACAGTGGAATTGTCTCCTAATGACTGTGATAATAAATCGCACTGCCGTGAACCAACTAACTTCTTTCCACCTCCCAAATTATCCATAACATAGCATACCTTCTACGGGGTTATTGCCCAAAACATAGCAGTTAGTTAGTTTTCCCCCATATTAACCTTCCCTGTTAGTCAGTAGATTTTTTTAATGCAGCAGGCTTCCTTTTTGCTTGGGACCCGTTACGGGTG